ATGTGCCATGAATCAAGTCAGAACTAACTCTTCACTGAGCTTCCAGCAGGTTTTCAGAGGCGGTAAATTGAACAGAGAAATGGCCTGTCCCTTTTTTTGTGAAGCAGCTGGTGGATCCAAACCTCATACTTTACCTGACACCATTTATTATTGGATTTCTCTTAAATCTCTGCTCCTGCAGTAACAGTTAAACCATAGGGTGACTTTAAGAAAGCATTCATCTTCTGTGGTCCTGAAGACTAAAAGTCCAACCCAGTGCCTGGGTCACATTTAATTCCCCCTTAATGGTTGCCCCATGGTTCCTTGGTTCCTTAGGGAACTTAGTTCTTCACAGTCTGGTCTCCCTGCTCCTAGGTGTGTGTCTGTGTCTTAATCTGCTATTTTTATAACTCAGAAGCCATTGGATTGAGAACTCACTGTATTTAGGTGTGATTTAATCACAGCAAAGAAAACCATAGTTGCAAACAAGAGTACAACCAAAACACAGAGATAATGTTTCCAGTACATATTTTGGGGAGACATATTTCATTTATAACATTGGTCTACAGGCCCTGATTCCTGTGGAGGCTAAGTAAAGATCTAAATAGCTGAAGGGATTTGCATGGACAATTGTGCCTTATCAAACTAAAAATACTTTTTTACATGGCTGGGGAAAAAAAATCAGGAATTCATTTTTCTTTTGAGGATACTTAAATTGTAAGGCTTCTCCAACCTATTCTGTGTTTGATTTAGCTTTACAGTGAAGGGTAAAAAAGGAAGTGCAGAGTGGGAGAAGACTGCAGTGTCACATCCCCACTGAGGCCAGGCTGCAGTGTTCCTGGCATTAAGTAAGAGCACACCTCTATAGCCACTAAAGGCACGGTTTGGTCGTTTAGGAAGCAAATCTCAAATGCATTTCCATGTCTTAAAGGAGATGAAGACTGTGCCTTTTCGTGGATGAGTGAAATCCTTTCTTTATAATGTTTATTTGCTCTTGGGATATTTGCTTCCCTACAAATGGGTCACAGCTCTGACTCAGCTGGTTTGGTGGTGGAGTAAGAATTTACAAGGCAGCAGGATGAAAGCATTTTAGACTCAGAGCAGATGGATTCGAGTTTAATCCTGACTGTAACTTTGGGCAAATCTTTTACCCTCTCTGAGCCTCAGTTTCCTGATATGTCAGCTGGCGAGAATTCTTGCAACTGTTGTGACTAACAAAGGCAACTGAGATGCATAGCACATAGTCTCACATAAAAGCGAATTACTCTAAATTATTATCACATATTTTTTACCTTAAAACACTGCCTTATGGTTGTATTATGGTGGTGACTTTTGCCTTTCTTTAATCCAGTTCTCATTTCAGCCAGTAACTAATTTTGATCTTAGCATGTTCTCTTTCTTCTAAAAAACCAACTGAGCCATTTTCACACCTTGGTGCAAAGAAAAAGTTTCCTTAAGACACCTCAGGCTAGATAGTAAAGAATCACTTACTTTATTTATTTATCTATCTTTTTTTTTTTTTTTTTTTGTCATGGGGGTTCAGTTGAAGCCAGCAGGAGGAGTACTGTTGATCAGCTGGCCTTGGTGCAGAATTCAGTCCTAGTCTTCCAGGTGTCCTCTGACCTAGAGGTTAGGCTTTGTTGCCATTTCAAAGGAGACATCTTTGTGAAATCATAATCTTACTTGAATAAATAAATGCTTTTGTCTTTGAGGCCATCTGCACTCTCCTTCAAACTAATGACTTCTGCAGAAGTCTTTTGAATTTCAGATCTAGTTTTGCTTCTTTAAAGTCAATGTTAGCAGGACCAGGAGGAGATGGAATGTGTGGCTAATTGCCTTCACAAACAACTACCGCTCTTGCCATGTGATCAGATCTGAATGGTGCCCTCATAAAGACTGTCCTCATAAAATACTGTCAGCTTGTTTTTTAAATTAATAGGTGAAGGGAATGATCTTTTAAAAAAACAAAACTTAGTGAAGATGCTAAGACTCCTTTGTCTTTGGGTAGGGAAACATTTCTAAGTGAAATTTGCCATTTGCCTAGGATAGACGCTTTGACTTGTTCTGCCAAAAAGTAATTTCATCCAGACTTTTAAGTGGTTTTGGGCTCCTGTGGAAAGAGAAGAAAGACACCAAAGTGAATTTTAAAGCATTTCATTTCGCTCATATTTGTATGTAAGATATTAGAATATGTTACATTTCTCTTATATTTATAGGTTATCAAAAATAACAGATCATCTCTAAATCAGAACTAATTTACCAAATGTAGAAAGTTATGTGCATTTTAACCAACCTGTAGCTTATGAGTTTTTTAAAGTAAGACCTCATTCAGGCATGGATTCTTCCTTTTCTCTCTCCACAGAAACCTGAGAGAAAGAGATCTAGAATTTAAAAATCTATAGATCACACATGTGCAGCAGAGGGAAGCTTAGGACTGGGAAGGAGCAGATCTTGATTTCACACACAGTCCTGCTGCTGGTTAACATTTGACCTGGGCAAAGATTTTCACTTTATGAACCTCTGTCTCCTTGCATATAAATTGATGAGTACTCAATGAGATAGTTTCTGGATCTTTTTAACTGTAAAAACTCCATTCCAGTTGTTCCAAATACCTGCTAAATAAATTACTGCGGTTTAAAAATAAACTCAATAGTTAACATTACCTACATTTCTCCAAGCTGCAGTTTTAAACCCATGTTAACCTAAATGAAATTCCTCAGTCCTTGGAGGGAAAGCTGGGGTTCTTTGTTTGTTTTGTTTTATGAGGTGGAGCATAGATTTGCTGTTAAGTTGCCTCCAACTCATGGCAGCCCTGAGGGTGGAGGAGCAGAACTGTGTCTCATAGGTTCTCAGTGGCTGGGTTTTCTGGCTTTTCTGAAAGTAGACCACCACCTTCTCCCAAGGCATCACCCAAGGGCTCGAACTGCCAGTCTTTCTTTATTCCAGTCTTTTCCTTTGTGTTAATAATTTGTACCACTCAGGTACTCTACACTTACAGTGTGAGGAAGTGAAAACCGAAGTATTCCTGGAGGGAGCTGATAGTTGAACTGGGAAGATGTTGGAAAAAATCACAAAACAAAACTGAAACGTTATACTAACAAAAAATGTATACTAAAAAATACAAGAATATATTTATTAAGCACTTCCCAGGGAGCTCTGGTGGCCTAGTGGCAAAGAAACTCTGCTGCAATCCCAAAGACATACAGTTCAAGGCCACCAGCTGCTCCACTAGAAAAGGTTGGACACTCTCCTCCCATGCAATTAACTGCCTCTGAAAACCCACTGGAGGGTCAGCTTTGAGTCACTTCAGACTTGACAGTCCACAACAACAACAAGAAGCACTTCTTACTGCTCTCCCTACACTCATTTAATCCTCACCTCAATCCTATAGATGGTGTCATCACTCTGTCCTACAGAGAAAAGTGAGGCACTTCGAAATGTTATGTGAAATGTCTGTTGTTGGATATTTGAGGGGTTTTTTCTACAAAAGGTTTTTAGAGAAGGTATTTGTGTCTGCGAGCATCCAAGGTCCCCTTTGGAGTAAGTAGGTTTAAGTTTTAGGAACAGTAAAGAGCACTCCAAAGGTGAGAGAATCTCATTTTGACTTTTAAGCAGACTTGGTGTTGATTACCAGTCAAAAACCAACCAAAAAGCCATTTAAAAAAAAAATAGATTTTTTTAAAAAAAATACCATTGAAATGGAAATCTTTAGCAGTCCAGTAGGGTATCCCTGAAGTTGGGAAAATTGGTTTCATAAGAGAACAACTAATATTCACATGACTGTGCTCCATGGAGAAAACAGTCAAAAAAGAAAAGACGTGAAATTGGGTCAAGTGTTGAGAAGTGCTCAGCCTGCTGGTCACGACTTGCTCTGGGCAGTGGGGCTGCGGGCAGTTTTTGGATGTAATGGGAGCAGTTCCCCGCCCCCGCCCCACTCCTCTGGTAGATTCTAGTTACTCATTTCTATCCTTGTAACTTGACTGGCAGGGGGCAGTTCCACATTGTGGGGACACGCCTGGCCCTCTCCTTGCTTGTCACTGGAGGGTCTCCAGGACGGGGCATCGGCGTCTCTGGTGGCATGTGGTGCCCATGCTGTTCCCTTCCAGGCGTCCAAGTGGTAGGGATGTCAGCAAAGCCAGGATGTGGACCTGGGGCCACCGGCCATGCATGTCTCCACTCACAGGGACGCTCGCAAGCCTTGGTCTGTAGAAAACTTGGCCAAACCAGAAGCAGCAAACACTTGCCTGTCTGGATCCCTTTTCCTCAACTGAGGAGTTCGCCACTGCTTGTGCAAGCAGAACTCCCTCTCGCCTCCCATCCTGCTGCTCCTGCCGTGGAGAGGAAGAGGGAGCCGCTCCGCTGGACCTCGGCCAGAGGCCGCCGCCTTAACCTTCAGCGGTGAGTTCCGAGGCCCCGCATCCCAGCAGGCTGCTGCCTGTCAGCCTCTCCCAGCGCCTCCCGGCCCTCCGCGATTAGGAGATGTCAGGGTTGTCAGGGCAACTGGGAGTGAAGGCAGCGGATCATATTTGCCCCTCTCGTGTTGTCTGCTGACTGTTTTACTGCGTGGCCACAGGAGGAAGACTGGGAGAAGGTGCTGCCGCAGCACAGGGAAGCTGGGACTGACCAGACCGGTCAGGCAGGGGACGGAGGCACTGGACCTGCCTGCCTTGGATCTGAGCTCTTCTGGAAAGTGTGTGTGTGCGTGCGCATGTGTGTGTGATGTGTGCGTGTGTGTGAGTGTGTGCACGCATGTGGCTGCTGGGAGTAAGTGGGAGGGGGCTTGTTGGAGAGGTTGGGGGTTGCTGCTAGGTAAGGGGGCCTCACTTGCCAAGTGCCTGGTAGTATCTGTCAGCTGTTTGCACACTGTTTACCCAGAGCGGATCTATTACAAGTGCTCAGATGAACCGGCAGCTTGGGAACTAGCCGCTTCCCGGGAGCTGCAATTACATAAGCATATATTTTTAATATAATAATAATTAAAAAAAGAAGAAGAAGAAAGCAAGCCAGCAAGTAGCAGCGGTATGCCTGGACCAGCTGCAGCTCTCCGACATGAGAGACTGAGGAAGACCAATTCAAGGCCAGTTCCCCTTGGTTTGTTCACCATTAATGAGGAAGATGAACAGCAAAAGAATGGACATTCCAAAAGACCGAAAGGTATGCGTTAGCGCTGCTCTGTGGGCCCGGCTGGACGCAGACCCACTTGGCCGCACGTGCCCTTGTAGTGCATGCTGTGTGGGGTGCTGGGGACCTCCCAGCGCAGTTTGCCTGTGGGTGCTTGCGCGCTCTCCGGGGTTGTGTCTGCGCAGTGGAGGACAGATACTGCAGATTTGGTAAATCTCGGATCAGCTTTTGAGCCAAGCTACCTTTCTTGGCCTGGGGCTCTTTAATGTTCATGCATTCATTTAACAGTTACGGTGACACCACCACCCCCAACACACACACACTATCTTTAGAAGGAGGGGGAAGTTGGGGGGGAGTATCAAGGTTTGAATGAATATCTCCTCACCTGCCTGCCTTTTATGAGTGAATTCCTTTTCCTTTAGTGAGTTGATTTGGACAGGGCACTGTAAAGTGCCCACAGTTTTTGCTTGGGCAGAGGGTCAGAAGGTTCCCTCCCCTTCTGTAGTGAAACTCTAAGAGCAAGAAGAGGAGGCATTGAAGGTGAAGCTAGGAAGGCAGGGAGGGGCTGTGAGGTTTTATAACTTCTGAGGATAAGTCTTGCTACTGAAGTGTGTGCAGGGAAGTTGGAAAGTGCAGGGGATAGAAAGGGAGGTCTGATCCCTAAGCTGCGTTTTCCCTGGGATGAGATGGATCAGCCACCTGGGCTTCTGGAGCCTGTTTACTGCATCGTCTTCAGCATTGTCTCAGTTTGCGCTGCTCTCACTGTCAGGCTGAGATGGCAGCACTGTGCGTTGCTTAAGAAGAGCTTTAACATTGGTATTTCAAGTTTTCTAAAACACGGAAGCTGTTCTCAAGCAGATAGCTTATAAATTTTGTGCTTTTCGTGTGCTGATGAAATGTGGCTGGTGTTCAAATGGTTCCATCACTGAGAGATCAAATTTTCCTTCTTGTGATACAGAGAGGTAATGTGGCGAAGTTGCAAGCAAATATTTAGTCAGTGACAGAATGAGTGTTTACACAACATCCAGGGTCTCAGCACTGCCGGTTTCCTTCTCCCAGTTCTTGAGTGAACTTTACTTGGGTCTTCTAAAATATAATTGAAACCATCAACTTTAAATCCAAAGGTATATTTTAACTTCATTTTTAAAAGGCTGTATACAAGGAAGTTCTACCAAGCAGGATCTTTTTCTGGAGTTGACTTTTGTTTATCCTCAGACATGACTTTCTATTTGAGGACCGGAGGACCTCAGGGATCTAACAATGCTCTGTGAATGGAAGGTGACTTAGGTATCTCTTTTATATGCCCGGAGGTAGGTAGTTGAACCAAAGGATGTGGCTAATGTTGAAAACTCTGTTTTTTAAATTGTTAGCAGCAAATCATTTATCCCCTTTAGTGGTTGGTAACTTTGAAAAAGAAGACTGTTTTGTTTAACTGTGCCCTCAGTGTGTTTTTGGAAGCTCTTCCTGATTTATGCCACTTTTCCCTTGGGTGTCCTGAAGCAATAATTTAGAATAATCATCCCTTTGGTTCTTAGTCATTTCCTTTAATTCTTCCTGCTGTCTTTCTTGGCTTTTGTTTCACTGTTGCCTTTCAGTATTTTATTTGAAAGCTAGAAAAATGGGGGTAGGGAAAAGAAGAGGTATTTCTAAAATCTATTTGTTTTTAATGATTTATTTTAGCTCCATAGATGAGAGATTGGATCCAAGGGTTCCTGGTCCCCTACTGCCCTCCTTTTTTTGTCCTCTCACATAAAAAAGAAAGAGAGACTGGGGCATGGGAGGGGTGGTGGTGGTGGTGGTGATAGAGTAAATCGTGTGCTGATAAAAATGTCCAGAAATTTGTTTATCCCCAAAGGTCTTTAATTTATGGACACATGCAGTAAAACGAGCAGATAGATAACCTTTGGCATCACTCTTTGTGTTTACTGAAACTGTTGACTTTGATTCTAAATTTAATCAGGCCTATCAGCAATAGATAACAATCACAGCTACAGCCAGCAAGAGAAGTACTCACTTTCTAGCCTTAGGCTGTCAGCACAACTTTCTATGGTAACGAACATTTTCTGGTTTTGAACATTTTCTGGTTTTGCATTGCCCAGGTCAGTAGCCACTAGCCACGTGTGGCTACAGAGCACCTGAAACGTGGTCAGCAGGACCAGGACACTGACTTTTAAACGGCACATGATTTACATTTGAAAAGCCAGATGTGGCTAATGGCTGTTTGTTTCAGCTGTGCAGTTCATGCCCTTTGGCTTTGTCCATTCTTCCTCATTACTTTCTGCTGCTGGAGGTGGTCAAGTCCTGAAACTAGTGTAGTTACTAGGCAGGGTCTCGTGGATTAGATGGTTTCTTCTCTGTAAGGGAACATGGTAACCTGGATATACTGATAATTTCATCTTTCTTTTCCACTTAGCTCTTACTGCCTCTTCTGAATATTGTTCTTAATAGTCATCACTTGCCTGCACCATCTTTTGCAACTTTTAATGAACTCTGTAGTTCTCCAAATTACTATTTCCAAATCAACATAGCAAGGTGATATACAGGTTATCTTTTATGTGTGATTATTTAGCAAGCATAATTCTTTTTAACTACATCATGGTCTAATCAGCCAGCCCTGTCCAAGCCTGGTTTTCATAGTATTGTTCCCCCACCCCCACCCCCCATCACTTGTAGGTATAAAGATGCTGGCTTATTTCATTGAGTAAGCTAAAAGCTTCTATCCAGGATTACCCAGGGTTTATAAATAGGGCGTTTTAAATGATGAACAGCATCTATCTACTCAAGTACTCCAGCTGTTGAATCCCCTTATAAAGAATTCAGCAGAAATGAACTGGTCAGTTGAATCTAGGCTCCTAACTGGTGACAGATTTCTGGTGGAGAGAGACAGTCGTTTGGCTAGCTGCTCGAGTAAATAAATTCTTGAAGGAGTGAGTGAGTGGTTTCTTATGCAGTCACTGGGCCCGTACGTGATTTCCATGCCTTCCTATTAACAAATAAAATTTGGTTATTTGAGATGGCCTAGGCTGAGATAGTTGGTTTGATATCTCAGAACCAGAGTCTCAGTTAAAGCTGACCTCAGGACCAGTTTACTGTTTAGGTACTACAGTGGCTAAATGGCCTTAGAAAGGTTTAAAAGACACTCAGCCTTATGGAGAATTTTACTGAGCCTGTCTGATTTATTAAATAACAAGGCATTTATTTTTTTTCTTCTCTAAATTAACATTGCTAAATGCTCATTTTATACAGATTGCTCTGCTGGGGCATTGTGGAAGTGATGCAGCGATTATTGGTTTGGATTCTGCTCTCAGATGTATTTACTATCTAGTGGAAGAGGATACATGTGTGTGTATTTATATATGTCTGTATGTAAGTTTATACATGAGCATGTATAGTTGTGTCTGTATTTAATGGAAGAGTATACATTGAAATCAGGATAGGGTGAAAACAAGATGCATTGCAGAAATGTTAACTGTGTGCCGAGCATGAAACTATTAACCTCAAATTTTCAGATTCCAACGTAGGGATTAAGTGGCTTCCATCCTAACTGGCACCACATGTGTGACTTAGAATGACACCACACGTAAGCCTCAGGGCAGGAGCACATGATGGTTAAAGCTTTTTAAACTAGTGGTAAAGTCTGGGCGTCCATACAGTGTTTCTTGTAAATACTGTAGTCACTTCTGGGAGCTCCTTGTTCACCAGAAATAGGAGCATTACACAATGCACTTACAACTTCTCTTGTGTAATGGCCTCCTGACCCATTTTATGAACCACCTATAGCAATCAGGACATTAGACCTGCCATCTATCTGTTTATCTTGATTGATACCCAGCTCCAATACTAAATTTACTACTGAAATTTGGTCCTGAATGACTTTTAATTGGTTTTGTAAAAATCACCATCCTTGGAAGACTTATCACTTGCTGCTAGACTGATAATGGCCTCCCTGTTTTCGGGGTCTTGCTGTCTCCCCAGTCTTTTCCTCTCTTAACCTATCAGTGAAGCAGTCCTTTCTAATGTGAAAGTGAGCTCCTGTCACTTGTATTTTCAAACTTCTCAGTAGTAGTATTGCTTGACTTAAAACAGAGATAGCAACTACGATCTTTGGGCTGTATTTGATCAACAGGTAGGTTTATTTGGTCCCTGACCTTAAATAAATTTTTTTTCTATAATTATATTTTATTAATTTTCATAAACATTTACAGAGATTTTGGGTTTCCATTCATTCATTGTTGCACTATTCTCTCTACCCTCCTCCCAGTTTGTTCTTGTCCAAATGCCACAGTGCTTGTCAAAGCCAGTTCTGATTAATCTTCTTTGTCTGTGTGTCCTTTACCATTCCCTATCACTCCTCCCTGAGAGAGACTTCACCCTGAGTCATAAGGAAAAGGGGATGGCATATTCTCTTAGCTACTTCCTGCTGAAAAGGGACGCTGTGGGTTTCAGGGTGAAGGTCTTCTCTCACTACTCTAAAGGGCCCCTTTGGCAGTAGGAAACACATAGACTATTATGGAGATTGATTTTGGAATTTAGATGCACTCTTATTGATTGTGCTTGGCCGTACATGTTCATATCCTTGAAGATGTATCATGGGGGTGTAACAAATTTTTTTTTAAAAATGGAGTCAACATTTAGAAATTGAGAGATTTTGCATAGCAATGTGGACTTCCATTTCTCTTGAAAAACTAATTGTAGCCACACTCAGCTAATGTTTGTTTTTGTTGGTTGGTTTTATTCTTTGCATGGCAGCAGTCAGCTGAAGCAGAGTAGGAAGGAGCTCACACCTAGATGGATCCTGGGTGCTCCTGTTTGCCACAGTCTCCACCTCTCTTCCAGAATGTGCATCACCTGGCCTGCCTCCGTTGTTTACATTACATTCAGCTTGTATTTGTAACCCTTGGCCTAAGGAGTAAGGCCAAGTTCCTCAGCATGCTCATAGACACTTCCCATCACCTGGGGTGGCTCCCTCTGTCTCTTTTTCCTGCCACGCCCTTGGTGAACTTAGTGTCCCAGTATCTTCAGTGTTTCCGTAT